GCCGGATGGGGGGGGGGGCGGCGGCTACCATCTAAATTCTACATGAAACTTTAAAGATTAAAGGAATTCTAACAGAAGAAGATGGCAACTGTTGATTTAGTAAACCGGATAGAGTGAAACACACGAAAACGGATAAAATCACTAAAACAGCGCAAAAAGTACACCTAATAGATGCGTTTGGCAAGCATTCATACGCGGATGAGGAGAACATTTATATGGAATTTTGAGGGGGATCAATTATTAGGAAAAATTAGGAATAAATGTGAATTTGGATCATAGCAATGTAAAAATTGAAGAATTAAATTAAAAGACAAAAATTCGAATTCTTATGTGGACTAATTTACCTCTCATTTAATTTGAACAATTAATTGGAGTGCCAAAAGTATTAACATAACTCATAAATTTTTTTATCCAACATTCACGTGTGGCATATTTTCCTTCAAATATAAAAAAACTTAACTCTCAATTGCTTCACTTTCCAACATGCGAATCTACACCTCAAAAAGTAAAAACTCATTGCATTGGTTCAAACGTGAATATGACTCTTCCGCATCTACAGACCCGCAGATTACAACCCTCAGAGGATGTCATGCGAAACAGAGAAGCAATAAACTCGAAAAAAAGCTGTGGAGAAATTAATCGATGGGAGCACAGGAGAGGGGGCCGCACGATACGGGAGTGACACACGCATGAAGCATGGAAACAAAATTCGCAGGGAGGAGGGTGAGGGGGGTCACGATAAGAACCGAGCATGCAATGGACAGATACGCAACTAAATTCTGAAGCGTAATGAAAAAATGAACTAGCCGCAATTATTATCACTGTAAAAGCAGCGATGAAGAATTACACTTTAGAATCCTAATCAGAGAATGCAGCGCGAAACTTCCGGAGCAAAACAAAATAATCCATCCGGGAGCGATGCAGGACGAAATAATCGATGACATGACTTAAAACGAAAGCAATTGCGGAGAGGAGGCGAAAAAAACACTTACCCTAATCCGAACACAAATGGTAAAACACTGTCAACACACACTACCCCCGGAAAAAATTAAATTTTGAAGAACGAGTCCGAAAAAAAACAAAGGGGGGTAAGAAACCCGACGAACAGTATCACACACACCCGGCCCGCACCGACATGAATTCTCATCTGAGGCGAGATCTGAGGTCCCGCACAATCCAGCGATCCGATCCGCCGAGGGCCTTTTCCTATGCACGCACAAGTTGGGTTGGTCAAAGACCGGTGCTGCTATCTCTTGTCGTTGCGGAGTGCATTATTTTTATGCGTAGAGAGTGCTTTCCTCCCCCTCTCGCGCTCTTTCCCTCTTCCCGTTCGGGACTCCTTTTTTTAACACGTCCCGACTTTTATCTCTCTGTTCATCCTCCTTTCCTCCCCCGTTTCGTTTGCATTTTGACGACCGAGCCGGGAGAGTCAGAGACTGATAGAGCTCGCGGTCGCCCTTCTCCAAGTCAGTTTCCTTTAGATTCAAGAACAGAGTGAGCTAACACGGCAGCCTATCTCTTAATTATTAAGAGAAAAATTACTCTCTCTCTTCGTTGGTGTATTCATACACCAAAAAAAAAAAAAAAAATTAAAAAAAAATCCTCTCTTTCAGTTCATTTTATTAATGTTTATTGTAAAATAATCAGCTCAGACGAGCATCAGAAACTGATAGAGATCTCAATTGCCCTTCTTCAAGTCGGTTTCCTTTAGATTCAAGATCAGAGTAAGCTAACAGGCTTGCGTATCCCTTAGTTATCGAGAGAAAAATTAATCCTTCCTTGTTGGTGCATTTTTACACACAAAAAATAATATAAAATAATGTTCCTCTCTTGCGGTGCATTTTATTAATGTTTGTTGTAAAATAATCATTTCTGATGAGCATCAGTAATTTACTATAGGACAATCATTAAAAACCAAACGAAGAAATTTTCCCTTTTAATTTGATTTTAAAAAAAAAAAATAGAACGAAACTCATCAAACTAGAATTGGAGTTCAAATTTGAAATTTCGTCCTCCCCATCGGTGCTGCACGTAAAATTGTCACGATGTCAAGGGATCAAGATTTACATATTTGGATGGTCTCATTGTTCAAATAGTTGGAGCAAACGACACGAGAGAGAAAAAATAATTGTAATTTTGAACATAGTCCTCCAGAAAGTTCTAAGTTAGACACAAAGGCTATAGCATTGAAATGCAAACATTAATTTGTATGGAATTTCAATTGGACCACACTTTATACGATATGGAACTATAATTTCACACACATCATAATCATAACATCACCTACTTGCATAGGGAAAATCAAAAAGTGAGGGGAAAAGTAAGAAGAAGAGAAAGCAGAATAGAAAAAGGCAGAAGGATAAGATAAGACAGCAAAAAAGACGAAAAGGAGCGGAAGGAGAGGAAGACGAAAAGAAAAGAGGTAGACGAGAGTAATGAAGAAAAATAAATTTTATAAACAGAGGAAGCAAGAAGAGGTGGAAAAACACATGTGTATAATATTCTCTTCAGTGTACTCAGTAGGAAAGGTAAAAGCACTTATAACAAGTTCTAACAAGAACGAAGATACTGATACCACTATTCGAACTCCTAAGAGAGCCTATTGCCTACCCTCTACATTGAAGGAAAATTGAATGCAAGAAGCTGTACCGCGAACAAAATTTCCGACGGCAATATTTTTGGCACTTTATTCTTTGTAAATATGTAAGAACTGTGCAGCGTTGGAATCGCTACCATTAGATTGTTAAAGTTAACCTCAAACACGTTTTACTTTGCTGTCTCTGTACTTAAAAATGTTTCCCTTCAAATGGAAAGGCTTCATTCAAAAAACGGAAAGTGTAAAGTACGGTAGTGAATATTAATCCATCATCTTATTCATATTATCATTGAATTTCTACATTCGATTGCAAATTTGCATTTGCTACATGTCACGTGCACTTTATTAATTCGTGGTTCAGGTGAATAAATTAAGAATGTTTAAAGTTTTCATTTCGATATAATCAGATCTTTTTTTAAACGTCATGGATAACGGAACGCTCTTTCAACTCAAAACAACGCGAAAACAAAGGTGGAGTGGGCGAACTTAGGTTCGAACCCAACATACAACTATTTGAACTCCAGAGTGGGCCGGGTTGCATACGCTAAATTTTTCGGGCGAAATATGAGACTTCCTTCGGCTCTTGCGCGGTCGCGATAAACGGTTCTCGCGATAAGGCACAAGTAAGATTCGTATTGGCAGTAGTTGGAGTAAAGTTTATACACAACATTCACATGCATATGAAACGAAGCGTAATTGCTCAGAAGAGGAATAAAATATGCCCAAAATGCTGCATCTTGATTTTATGCCGGAAAAAATGTTTCATTACGGCACGTCTCGCATTGAACACACACATCAAAACAAATCCTCTATTCACAGCTTTTCAGCAACAGTCAGAACATCTACTTTCGGGTTTCCACAACTCAAGTTTCAAATTGAGTGGGGGTTCACAGAAATAACCGTAATCCATCTCTTTTTAATTTCTAAGGAAATTAAAAGTCCTGCTCATGAATAGCCACTCAATACAAAAACTAACGGAATTAAAAGCCGTGACCTAACTAATAGATAGGTATAAGAGCCTGCAGCTTAATTTTCCTTCAAGAATAATACACGCTTTTAGAATTGAGAGGCCCCTCAAGAGTGGCGTTACACTGGTAACTCAAAATTCCCTAAAATATATTACCGTCGTTTTTACAGACTACCGTTCAATTTTCTCTTGTCTAAGTTCAGCAATGTTTTGTGGCTTTCTTTTGCTAAAATTTGCGGGTTCACTATTCAGCCCGACACAGAATTTATAGCTGTCAGGCGCGAAAGACGACCGTTGTTATTCACATTTCAGTCATTCATTGTTGGGTCTCTGAGGGCGTAGCCGTAGGTCCCGATCCCCACCATTGCCGCGATACTATGGCTAACAATAAGAGTCAAATCTTCGACAAACGTACTTCATAGCTCCTCTCAATTGGATCTCATCGTTTGCTATACCTACGTTACGTAGGTATCGATTTGAAACTTGAAACTTGAGTTGTGGAAACCCGAAAATAGATGTTCTGACTGTTGCTGAAAAGCTGTTAATAGAGGATTTGTTTTGATGTGTGCGTTCAATGCGAGAAGTGCCGTAATGAAACATTTTTTCCGGCATAAAATCAAGATGCAAAATTTTGGGCATATTTTATTCCTCCTCTGAGCAATTATACTTCGTTTTTTATGCATGCGAATGTTGAGTATAAACTTTACTCTAACCACTGCTAATGCGGATCGTACTTGTGTCTTAATGCGAGAATTGTTTATTGCGACCGCGCAAGAGCCGAAGGAAGTCTCATATTTCGCCCGAAAAATTTAGCGTATGCAACCCGGCCCACTCCGGAGTTCAAATAGTTGTATGTTGGGTTTGAACCCAAGTTCGCACACTCCACCTTTGTTTTCGCGTTGTTTTGAGTTGAAAGAGCGTTCCGTTTTCCATGACTGTGATTGTGATGTGATCCATGATTGTGGTGCCCGGAGCAACATTTCTTGACCGAATTGCCCAATTGCATCGAGACTGTTTTGAATAATTTTAGTTTTTCCGCTTCGCGACTCGGCCGTTCTTTGGGAGCACGACTTGATCGCGAATGTGGGATGCGTGAACTTTTTCGCTGTTTTGTCTCCTTTCCATCTCATCGAATTTTACTTCCCCCCCCCCGTCCCCCTCAGAAAAGCCAGCCCTTGTACTATTGTGATGCTCGGAGCAACACCTCTTGACCGAATTCCCCAATTGCATCGAAACTGTTTGGAATAATTTCAGTATTTTCCGCTTGGCGACTTGGCCATTCTTCGAGAGCACGACTTGCTCGCGAATGTGCATGGGATGCGTGCAAGAGCAATGAGGTTTCGGGGGACGGGAGGTTCGGCTCCTTCGGTGGCGGGGTTCGCCGGGCCGTTGATTAATAGGCTCCAAGTGGGAAGCTCACGAGCGAGCACGGAGCAAGCTCAAGCTCGGCTTCCGAATTGGATTCCATTAACCTTGACTCTTGGTTTTGTTTACGGCTCCGACTCCGGCTCCATGTTTACACATCCCGTTTATTCACACCGACTCCACGATTCATTCAACTTTTGAGCCTCGGCTAATGAGAGCGTCTCGCGCCCGCCTATCATCATCGCCGTCCGCCATTTATGAAGAAAATGGCGTTGCAATACGCGAATGATTCAATCCGCGACGAGGCCAACTCCGGGGAACGAGCTGCACCGTCTGCCGGTGGATCGAGTCGATCAGAGAGGTCAGACATGAAATTTTTGACTAAAACTACAAATTTTGATGTTAAATTTTTCTGCTGGTTTAACGGCTTCGTGTTTAGCACCTTCAGCCAACTTTAAACAATGTTTAGTGTCCGTAGGTATCGTGCGGGACCTCCATGCTCCAGGCTTTTCCAATTTTCAGTGATTAGGGCCAAGGAGAGACTGTTTCAACAGATCTACTCGTCAATTCCGTGAAAATTAGACGCCACCACCGGGATTCGAACCCGGACCTATTGGTATGGAGTCAGACGCGCTGACCACTAGGCCAACCTGGCCGGCATTTTGATGTTTACTTCGTCACATTTTAAACTTTGAGGGGTGCCTCTAGCAGAAAAATTCACGGGAAAACCGATGGAACCACTTTTGGAACTTCAAAGTTTCGTATAAACGGAGTTATGAGCGTTTAAAGTTTCCAGACTTTGTCCGGCCTCTCCTACTGACTCGGTCCGCTGTGTGTTTGTGCTCTTTTGCGGTCACTGCGAAAAACTCCGGCCGTGTAATCCGTACTTACGGGCTATGTAGACATATACCGTCCGCGTTCCAGGCTCAGTCACCAAAAGTTCCGGTTGTATCGCCCGGAACAGTCGAAGCTGCGGCTCCAGCATCCAGAACTTTCTGCTTCTCATCGGGTTTAAATTAGGGTAAGGTATACAGTAGACTCTGGATTATCCGGCTTCATATTATCCGGACTCTGGATTATGCGGATCGATTTTGCAACCATGTAACTGCGTACGCATTCCGAAAAGTGAGCGGATCCGCGGAGAAGCGGACGCAAGGCATATTAGCGCCTGCAAGGCTGAGGGAATACTTCGCGCATTGCGCCAAACAGTGAGGTCGGCGTGG